AATGGCTGCAGGTAAGCACCCTCGCTGCATCCAGCTGGGTGTGGTGTGGACCAAGGGGTCCTGAGGATGGATTTGAGGCTTCTAAAGCGAGTGCAGTCCAACTTCTGCCCATGTTGGAGACACCCTGGGTCCCTGTGGGAACTGGGAGAGACCGGCCACCGTTCTCAGTTTTTTTTTTTTTTTCTGCCCTCCTGTCTCTCTCTAGACTCCCAGACCTCCCGGCTCCTGACCTTCACCCTGCTCTGCCTGCTCTGGCCTCAGGAGGCTGGTGCCTTCCCTGCCATGCCCTTGTCCAGTCTGTTTGCCAATGCCGTGCTCCGAGCCCAGCATCTGCACCAGCTGGCTGCTGACACCTACAAAGAGTTTGTGAGTTCCCCAGAGAGGGGTGGCTGCCTCACTGTGGAAGCAGGAAGGGGCAGACCCCTGCCCCCGGAAAACAGGAAGCCATAGGAGGAAACTGAGGGGTCGGGGTCTTAAGCCAATGCTGTCAAGATGAACCATAACGGAGTGGGAGGGGGTCCTCTGTAAGGTAGCGATGACAGCGAGCTACAAGCTTACCCTCAGTGACTGCTCTTCGTCCAGGAGCGTGCGTACATCCCTGAGGGACAGCGCTATTCCATCCAGAATGCCCAGACTGCGTTCTGCTTCTCAGAGACCATCCCAGCCCCCACAGGCAAGGAGGAGGCCCAACAGAGAAGCGTGAGTAGTTTTGTCTGCACAAATTCTCTCTTCCCCACTGTAACCCTACCTGTACCCCAGGCCAGGGATCACCTTTTCCCTGAAGCTGAGGCAACCCTGGAGTCCCAGGCAGAGGTCACTAGGCAATCCACTCCACACACCCTGTCTTCTCAGGACATGGAATTGCTTCGCTTCTCGCTGCTGCTCATCCAGTCATGGCTGGGACCTGTGCAGTTCCTCAGTAGAATCTTCACCAACAGCCTGATGTTCGGAACCTCAGACCGCGTCTACGAGAAGCTCAAGGACCTGGAAGAGGGCATCCAGGCTCTGATGCAGGTGAGGAGGCCACTGGGGTGGACCACGCTGTCGTTTGCCTCTGCCTGGAGCCTAGCTGGGGGCTCACTGCTGTTCTCTGTTTACCCGTCAGGCCTTGACACTTGAGAGGACATCTTACTCATTTCTGCTTATGAAGCTTCTAGGTCTTTCTCTAGGTCCTGGAGTCGGGGAGGGCACAGCTCCCAAGATTCCTCTCCTCTGCCTCTCCCCTTCCTCTCCCCTGCAGGAGCTGGAAGATGGCAGTCCCCATGTTGGGCAGATCCTCAAGCAAACCTATGACAAGTTTGACACCAACATGCGCAGTGATGACGCTCTGCTCAAAAACTACGGGTTGCTCTCCTGCTTCAAGAAGGACCTGCACAAGGCTGAGACCTACCTGCGGGTCATGAAGTGCCGTCGCTTTGTGGAAAGCAGCTGTGCCTTCTAGCAGGGCACTACGGTGTCTCTGCTGTACTCCCCCAGCGCCTCCCTTTGCCCTAGCAACTGCCCATCCCTATGCTTCGCCCTAATAAAATTAAGATGCATCATATTGCTTGGCTAGATGTATTTCTTTTGCGGGATGGAAGGGTGGTGTCAAAGCGTCCTAGAAGCCGACCTGCCTGTGGGCTTCTGGAAGAGCAGCCCTGTCTCCCTGGACCAAATAGAGTCAACACATCACTTTCCCTATTACATGACGAGCCTGCTCCCACTCCATTGTCAAAATCCCAGCTCTCTGGACAGTCACAAGCCGACAAGGTCGTAGGTCACTCCCGTAAAGCACTCAGAGGTATTTATTCCTCCTCCAATCAGAATCAGGAAGACTGAACAGCCCCTAAAATTAGGAGGGCTTGAAAATGAGACAGAGGAGCAAAAGGAAAACATCTTTAAGAGAGAAAACACGAATAAAATCCCGGAACCACTGTTGTGATCAATCTGAAGACAGGCTTTCATTTGTATCGACTACCCATGAAAAATGGAGGCAATTCACAAACGGGTTTGGAGGCTGGAGAGATGGCTCAGAGGTTAAGAGCACTGGCTGTTCTTCCAGAGGTCCCAAGTTCAATTCTCAACAACCACATGGTGGCTCACAACCATTCCTAATGAGATCTGGTGCCCTCTTTGGCGTGCAGACATACATGGAGGCAGGATGTTGTATTCATAATAAATAAATAAATCTTTAAAAAAATAAACAAATCCAGCTCTTGGAGAAGAGGCATTTTCATTTTTAAAAAATGAGTTTGGAAGCTGGGCGTGGTGGCGCACAACTGTACTCCCAGCATTTAAGAGGCTGAGGTTGGAGGATGGCTGCGAGTCTGAGGCTAGCCTAGTCTACACATTGAGATCTAGACTAGCTTATTCTTTATAGCAAGGCTTTCTCTTAAACAGAAACAAAACAAATGGGTTTGAAACAATCAGAACCAGCAGGTCCGAATTAAACTACATAAGGGGGTGGAAGAAAGATTCTAGGAGGAAGATTGCCCTAGTAACTCCAGCGGGTACCAGGTGGGGCTGAGGGACAGACAGCTCAGGTGGTGTTCGGCTTGCAAGCATGAAGACCTGAGTTCAATTTCCAAAATCTATGTTAGCAAACAAAAACCACAACAACAAAACCTGAGTGCGATGGCATGCGATTATCAACTCCTGTACCGGGGAGGCAGAAACAGGCAGCTCCCTGCTCACTTTGTGAATTCCAGGCCAGTGAGAGTCCCTGTCTCATAAAACAAGATATACAGTGTCCCAGGAATGACAGCTGAAGTTGTCCTTTTGTCAGCATAAGCACGCACATACATGTGTACTGCACTCACTCACACACACACACACACACACACACACACTCACACACACACACAAATAGGTATCAGATAGAGAAACACATTCGTGATGAAAGCTCATTGGGTAGGGATAAGCTACAATTGGCACCAGGCTTCTGCGTGAGGGAAGGCTACATCATGGGAGGGTAGGAACCTGTATCACACTGAAGAACTGAGGGCCTAGCTAAATGTGGGCTCCTCTGACCTTGTCACCATTTACCATGGGGAAATAGGCCTCTAAAACACTCTGAGGTAGGGACATCCAGACATACAGGTGAAACTGAATTCTCAAACATTGGGAGCGAGTACAGCTAGGAAACAGAAAGTGACAGAGGCAGAGCCTTTCTACACTGGAAGGCGAGTCCGCTGTGATCCTCTGACCCTCCAACCACAGCTGTTCTGTCACTGCCAAGCTTTTTCTTCTAACTATGCACCAATGCCCCTTAGGTAGATAACTCTGATCTTGTTGGTGCCAAACTCAAGTGGCAGCAGGATTTCAGAACAATGGGGCAACGTTGTATCTTGGCTTCTCTGAGCTGAAAAACCCAAAACAATTTATTCCATTAAACTATTCTGATTGAAGCAGGGGTGTGTCAGTTAATGAACACAGAGTAACAACTGCAAGACATGCAATGCATTTTGGAGATAGATTGTGATGAGTTAGTGAGGACACATGGGGGACAGAGGAGATGAATGTCTGGACTTTCATTCGTAAGCTGGTACCCACTAAGAGTAGCAAACGTGTCTTTCCCCTGCTCTCCTACCCTTCAGTAGCATATGGGAATGTCGTCTCTAATCCTCCTACTCTGACCCCTGGGAACAGCCTGACCAGGCGCAGGTGTCAATATTGTTAACAATTGTCTTCTTGGGTTTTCAAAGTATAGACTTATGCACCGGGTGTGATGGTGCACACCTTTAATGCCAGTACTCAGGAGGCAGAGACAGTAGTAGATCTTCGTGTATTCAAGACCAACCTGGTCTACATAGCACTTTCCAGGCCAGCCAGGGTTCCATAGAAAGGCCATGTGTAAGAAACAAAAGCAAAGAGCTTTACTATGGGAAGAGACAAGGGCACTAACCTATGAGAAATCTAACCATGGGAAGCCGGGCATGAGTCCCCAGGATCATTTGAGATCCATGGAAGCTAACCCAAGGGGCCATCTGCTAACAGTGGCACCATGTGGCAGTGAGAAGTCACAGCAGGCTGAACCTCTAGCTCCACTTGCTGGAACTAGAAAGTCAGTGACATCGTCTTTTCTTTCTTTCTTTCTTTCTTTCTTTCTTTCTTTCTTTTTTTTTTTTTTTTTTTTTGGTTCATGTGCCTTAGGGGTTCCTGGGTGGCATTTACAGATGTGACTGGTGCTGATGATGCAGCTGATCCAGGACATTAAAACAGCTGGGGTCCCTGGATTGGGATGTTCTGTGTGTCTGTCTTAGACCTGCTTCCTAATGTTTTCCCCTTTGCTCACTTTGAGAAGATAAAATTGTATGAGATTCACGTGTTGGTAGAGAGTGAGAGCTACCAAACCCAGTGTGGAAACTGGCATTGAGGTGGTCTTTGGGGGAATACTTGCTCTGAACATACAAAACAACTCTTCTGGTCCTAGGAACCAGTGTGCCTTCAGTTGGATATGGATCCCCGAAGGCCCATGTCTTAAGGGCCCCCAGACCGTGGACTATTGGGAAACAATGAAACAAGCTGGGGCCTGGTGAAAGGTCCTGAGGGGATCCCTGGCGATATCTCGTTTCTCTTTTTGCTCTACCTGCTTCCACCATGATGTACTGCCTAGATACAGGCCTAAAGGTCATAGTCATGTGACCACAGATGGAAAACTTCTAACTATAGTAGGAATCGTTCTTTCTTGTAGGTTGGCATACCTGATATTTGTCACGGTGACAGAAAGTGAGCAAATCCCTCACAGATTATAAGTTTGTAGAGGCAGGGACAGCAGTTTACCACTGTGCCTCTGTGGGTGTCCAGGAAGGAGGGAGACACCTTTGGTGTCTGACACTGCATCATGTGGAGCATGCTTTAGTTGTGAGGGTGGGAAAACCGGGATTCTGACTGGTGCCAAGACATTGCTTGCCCTAGACTGACCACTCGGGTTGCCAAATGGAAGCTCTCCTCAGAGTTCTGGAATGCAACCATTCGGCTTCATATAAAAGCTTTCAATTATGACATAAAGGAAGAATAAATAGATATCACAAAATCCATTTTATTTTTATCACAGCTAACGTCTCAGTAAACAGTTCATGGCAGCTCTGGAGGAGAGGCCTGACTTGATTCTTCAAGCCTTCACCAAGGTGGACACACTCCTTTCAAAGGGCAGTGGAGGAAGCTGAACTGCTAAAGCATGTGGTGGCACACAGGATCGGGGTGTGACAGAGCTGAGACCCATCTGCGTGTTAAGCACACACTCCGCCGTGGAGTTTATGAGCCTCCATCCCAGGGGATTTGTTTGCAGAAGATGAAAGCAGGCAGTTCTTTGTGGAGATGGAGAACAGATGTGAGGCTTTTACAAAAAGGAATTCAGAGTGTGACACCCTTGACCTATTGACCAGTTTCATGGAAGGATTTTACCTTGTATTGTAAAGCCCCCTCCCCTACAAAAAGTTAGGGAGTGACAGTGTATCCTTCTCATCCCAGCTCTCAGGAGGCTGAGGCTGGAGGATCACAAGTCTGAGGCCATCTTGTGCTGCATAGTAAGCCCTAGGTTTTTTGTTTGGCTATAAACTAACTAAGCTACTTCTCTGTCTAAATGTGAAGTTGCAGGGGGTTCCTGGGGTGAAGCTTAACCACCCAGCACCCCTTATGATGTCATCGGCACTGTATGAGAAGCAGGGGATGTGGACAGGGCACAGAGTTCTGATCCCTGCCCACTTATTTGCTGCCGACCCCTAAGGAGTCTTCTCCCTGAACTACATATGCAGCTCCTAGTTAGTCATCAGGGACCCCTGAGCCATGTTCTCCAGGGGATTACTGATGATCTTTCTCATTTGCTGTTTGAGGAGTGGGCAGTGGGAATGAGGGACGGGGCAAAGCCTTCCGCATGCTCCAGTGGGCAGTAAACACAGTAAGGAGTGGCAGGCTCTACCGCTGGTCAGAACAATCAGACTGAATTTCTAGAAACTGGAATTAACTCATAAGAGAAAGGTAAGCTCCAGATGACCTGGTGCAGCCCTGAAACCCTGTTTGAGGAGACAGGAGAAGACAGGAGAATACAGCCTCATATTCTATCTCTTCCTCCTCCGTGATCTACTCTTTCCTCCTCATAAAACGCTGGTAGCTGGAGTCTCACTGTTTCTGGTCAGCAATAATGTGAGCTGCACTCTTCTGCCTGTATGTCAGCGAACTGGCTTTCCTCATCTTTGTTCTGCTCTCTCTGCCTAGGGGCCCGTTTCCTCCTGTTTCTTTTGCAGGGCTGGTAGTTCAGATACAGTGTTATGGTGATCACGGCCATGCCAAGGGTGGAGATGATGATGATGAAGATGGTGGAGGAGGTGATCCCTTCATGCAGTCCTGTGTAGGCACAGAAGACAGAACTGGGGAGGGTGGGCTAAGGACAAGAAAAGCATTCCACCCCACAGCATCAGGGCTAAGGACAAGAAAAGCATTCCACCCCACAGCACCAAGCCCACTTCTCAGACACATGTCCTCCAGCCCAGGAGCATCTTGTCTCCCTCCACATTTGTGAGAATCCCAAATCTGGGCACACATGGGGGCGGGGTGCTTTCTAACCCAAGGCTGGCAGCTGGTGCAGGTACCTTGGACAATTACAGCAATGTCTTTGCTGACAGAGCCTAGCTGGTTAGTGGCTGTGCAGCAGTAGGTTCCAGTGTGGTTCTGGGTGGCCTTCTGCGGAACATCAAGGTCGATGATCACCCCATTCCAGATACACACCAGAGCTGGGGCGGGGTTTCCCTCTGGGATGCAGGCAAGCATCTGATCCATCCCTTCTACCCATATCTGGTTGCCAGGGCAGCTGGATTCCTCAAACCGAGGCTTGTCTGCAAAAGAGTCCCCAAAGGAGCCTAGTTCTTCGTCCTGCTCCCTTCTCACTTCCCTTCAGAGTCCTTCCCCTCCTTAGCTCAAATGTTGTTCCCTCAAACCAAGGAAAACACAATCAACTCCCTGCTTAGAACCAAGCTCATCCTCCTCCCTTCCCTGTGGCAAGGATTATGAGGTGCAGCCTAGGACATATTGATGGACTCAGGCTAAGTAACGCGGTTCCATTGGTGGGACTCAGGGCTTCACAATGGGTAAGGAGTGAACTCGGAAATAAGAATTTCCTCATTTTCCGAAACACAGACTGTGCTTTGGAATTTTTGCAGGCTTCACTCCTTAGCATCAGCCTCAGCTGTCTCCCAGGCACTGGCTCTCACTAAAGGTGTCTGACCACCAGAACCACTTGCCTTTCTGGGTGCAATCCCCATTTTGACCCCACGCACTTTCCCGAGGGCAAAGACAAGCTTAGGCGTGTTCCTTTTTTCTTCTTCTCTGGAGTTCTGAATTAGAAACTTGCAGCCTCTTTACTAACGAAGCTACCAGCCAAGAAGGGAAGCCAGGCGTCCCTGCCTTGTCAAGGGCCAGCAGGTCCTCTACTCACATAACACATGAAGCTGGATCTCGGTGGTTTTGAGCAGTCGCCGGCCCTGCACCTCCAGAGAGGCCTCACAGGAGAGATTCCGGCCATCATCTTCCTCCCTGGCAGTAAACAGAAGCCAGGCAGACTCCCCGGGAGCAGAGAGATTTGGGGCTCCCTCAAGCCGAAGAGTAGGGCTAGGTGATGTTAACACATGACCTGAGCAGGTCACATTAACGTCTGTCCCTGCCAGAGGGTAAGCATCCTCTACCTCCAGAATTGGTGGAGGGAAACCTACAAAGAAAGGAAAAACAACAGTGGGCATGTTTTAAAAACTGGAAATTTCAATAGGTGGCTGCTCCTGTCCTCTTGTTGCTGGAGGTCTCCCTTGGGCAAATGACAATGACAGAGGAGAGACTTTGGATAGCATTAATGTAATGTTTTTGTAAAGGCTGAAGACAGGGAGCCACAAGATGGCTTGAGGACTGAGAAGAGCTCCCTTCCAACAATACAGCATGCCCCCATTTGGCTATGTCTCTCCTGCAAGGACAGTAAGATGTCTTCTCATCATACAGGTTTCTTACTCAGCTCAAACGCTTATTCTAGATTGAAGTTCAAGCATCTGCAATTGCCCAATACGCAGGATAGGTTAGGAAACTGAGGACAGAAGCCACATAAAGCTACCATCATAATGCAGGTCCCTAACCCACCTCTGTCAGAGAAAGATGAAAGCTAAGCTAGCATTCACTTAAGAAGACACCCAGCAAAGGTTAGCAGGATAAATATCTACAGCCCAATCCACAGAACACTAGTGTGCAAACTCTCCTTAGCAGCCCCCAGTGTGGGAAGAGAGGTGGTCACGTACTGTAGACATGAACTGGTCTCCTGACTTTCTGCTCCACGGGACCCAGAGACACAAGGCAGGTCAGCTCCTGGTCTCCCGTCTCCATTGCAAGAATGGTGGCACTAGCCCATGCTGCATCCCCCTTCCAGGAGGAGAAGGGGCTCAGCTCCTGGTCTTCCAGGAACATCCGGAAGACAGCTTCCTGGGCAGGAAACACCCTAGTCACTTCACAGCTCACGGTCTCTGCCACCCCAACCTCCAGGAGTGAAGACACCCCAATCTGCGGACTCTGAGAGAATTCTGCCAAGCAATTGGGAAAAGGAAGGAAAGAAGGAAAGCTGTAAGTCACGTGTCACATAGGACCCCACGGCAGGGAATGGTGAATTAGAGGTGGGTTCCAGTCACCCTCGCTTCCTAAACATGTGGGGACAGGGTCCCCAGAGGCAAGACAGACCCTGGACTCTCTTCATGCCTGGACTCTGACTCACCAAAGATCCGGAGCTCCTTGGTGGCTGAGCTGCCATGAAACAGCCCTCCACCTTGTGGGCTCAGGTCCAGCTCTGCGCGGCAGGAGAAATTGCACTTGTCGTTCTCCCGTTGGGCTCTGACATTGACAGCAACTTCAGCTCTTTGGGATGCCGCAGATGCACTCATGAAGTCCTTTCTGTGTAGTTCTTGGTCACCCTGGAGCAGGGTGAGGGTGAGGCTCTGCAGGGGTGCCACACTAGGCACGTGACACTTCACTGTGAAAGCTTCCTCCGTGGTTACCCACTCGGGCTGTAAGTCCAGGATCACCTGCTCTGGTGGCTCTTTAAGACAAAAAGACAAGCCTTGGTGAGGCAGCTCACCTCCAGAAAGAAATGACAGTGCAGGAAGTGACCACTACCCTTAAGGCTTCATTCGCTAAATCAATCTCCCACTCTCTGTTCACCGAAGGTGGCCATGGCCAAGAATTGTGACATCTAAGAGGAAGTTCCTTGTTTTGAATTTTCCGACCATTCTGGAACTTTTTATCTCTTATCAGTGATGTTTTAGAGGCATGAGAAGCTTGGTGGTGGTGGTGGTGGTGTGTGTGTATGTGTGTGTGTGTGTGTGTGTGTGTGTGTGTGTGTGTGTGGTGTGGGGGGGGCTGTGGTGTGTGGTGTATTGTGTGGTGTGTGTGTGATATGTGTGTGTGGTGTGTATGTGGTGTGTGTGTGGTGTGTATGTGTGTGTGTGTGGTGGGGGTGTATGTGGGGGTATATGTGTGGTGTGTGATGTGTGTGTGTGTGTGTGTGTGGTGTGTGTGGTGTGTGATGTGTGTCTGTGTGTATGTGTGTATGTGTGTGGTGTGTGTGTGTGTGGTGTGTGTGTGGGGGGTGTGTGTATGGTGTGTGTGTGTGTGGTGTGTGTGTGTTTTCTTCCACTCATTCTTTTTTTTTTTTCGGTTTTTTTCCGAGGCAGGGTTTCTCTGTGGCTTTGGAGGCTGTCCTGGAACTCACTCTGTAGACCAGACTGGCCTCGAACTCACAGAGATCCGCCTGCCTCTGCCTCCTGAGTGCTGGGATTAAAGGCGTCCACCACCAACGCCCGGCTTCTTCCACTCATTCTTATCTTTGCTATGCAAGATGGCTCCCTGTAGGACCCGGTTTACCAGTCCCAACAACCTCTCTCCCGAGGTGTTGGGAACGGCTTGGACCATAGCCTTCTCTAACTACCCAGCTTAAAAGACTGTTTTAAGTCTTTTAAGTCCAGCAATCCCTGGAGAGCTGGCAACAAATAAACTGGCATTAATTTTACACTTGCCTGGTCACTCAGAAACTGGCATTTTTAGCGTCTGCTCCCCATATCTTCTGTGTATTCTTAAGTATGCCACATGGCTAATGGTGGACACTCAGAAGACAGCCTCTTCAAAGGGAGAGAATCCTGACGGTGTGACTGAATCTCTACTTGGGGGCCAGGGTGGGGTTGTTTCTCTCCTTTAAGTAAGACCCCTGTCTAAGTCTTCCCTGGAGAAGATGCATGTTTTGTTTTCCGCTCCTCTCCTCTGGACACTCACGGTACATGGTGATGTCAAGCACCGCGTCCTTCTGGACCCCTGCACAGGAGAAGAAGCACTGCAGGACAGAGTCCTCTGTGATGTCCTCCAGCAGGAACTCCTTCCACTGAGGCCCTTTGGCCAGCTGGGTTTTCTTGAAGAAGGTCTCGATTCCACTGGGCCCAGGATCTGGGCAGGTGGTGCTGCAGTTGATAGTTAGCGACTGTCCAAACTTCACCAGGGCCGGATTTGGCCAAACAGACACTTCAAATATCTCTTCTGTGGTCCCTGAAAGGAAGCACACAAGCCAAAAGCTGGTGAGGACCAGGAAGGAGAGCAGCATGAACTCTGATGGATGCTCTCTCCATCAGATCTAGGCTGGAGAAGAGGGAACCTGCTCGGGATCTGAAGAATAAACCTGTAATCAAACCTTAATCCCGACCTCGGTCTCCTGCTCCTCTGCCCTGGGGTCTAGATTTTTATCACAGAGTCTAAGGAGGTGCTGAAAGCCATGCCCAGGGAAGCTCTCAGAGGCCTTAGCCACTCTCTGGGCTCATGCACTAAACACCCTAATGGGGTCTTTGTTCTTCTACTGCAAAGCAATATTTCTCTCAAGTACTTATGGCCAGGAATGACTAAAACTGCAGAGCCTGGATTCCCGCTCTGACAGAGTGACTACCCGCTAGTGAAGATGGGACCTGGAGATCTGCCTGACAACAAAACAGCCTCATGGGACCCTTCTATACCCACAGCCATGAGTACTAGTGACTCAGGGAAGCCCGCTTGCTTACTTATCTCCCGTAGAATTTTCTATCTATTCTCAGAGATTACACCACTTTACTTTGTGATACCATGAAAAGGAATGTTTTCAACATTTGCAAGTTTAATCTATATATTATGGTTTGGATCTCTTTTGTTTTGTTTTGTTTGTTTGTTTGAGACAGGGTGTCTCTGTGTAGCTTTGGAGGCTCTCCTGGAACTCGCTCTGTAGACCAGGCTGGCCTCAAACTCACAGAGATCCACCTGCCTCTGCCTCCTGAGTGCTGGGATTAAAGGCATGTGCCACCAATGCCCAGCTACGAATTGGATCTTAAATGTCTCCAGAAGCCCATGTGCTAGAAGCTTGTTGCCAGCAGGTGGCACTATGGAAGCAGTAGGACCTTTAGACAGTTTTATACAGATTTAAAATATGTATGTTTGTGTGTGTGGATGCTCTGCTGCCTATACATCTGTGTGTCATGTTCCTGCAGTGCCCACAGAGGAGGGCCTCAGGGTTCTGGGACTGGAGTTGCAGAGGGTCCTGCATGTATCTATGCAGCAGTTGTATGTGTGGTGCCTGAGGAGGGCAGAGGAGGATGCTGGGTCCCTGGAACAGTACAGAACGGTTGTCAATAGCAACATGGGTCCTGAGGACTAAGTCTAGGGCCTCTGCAAGAGCAACCTTGCTCTTTGCTGCTCAGCTATCTCTCCAGCCCCAAGGAAAATATATATATATATTTTGTTCCCTGAAAATCTGTCATTTAGGAAAGTATTTTTGAGAAGATAAAGGAGGTGCTGGTCCATTGCTTGACTAACATGCACAAACCCCAGAGTTCGATCCCCAGTATAAAACTGGGCTGGAGAGATGGCTCCGTGGTTAAGAGCACTGGCTGCTCTTCCAAAGGACCTGAATTCAATTCCCAGCACCACATGGTGGCTCACAGTCATCTGCAACTCCAGTCCTAGAGCCCTGAGGCCCTCCTCTGTGGGCACTGCATAAACATGACACACAGACATATAGGCAGCAGAGCATCCACACACATAAACATACATATTTTAAATCTGTATAAAACTGTCATAATGGCATATGCCTGTAAGCCTAACACTCAGGAAGTAGAAGCATGGGGAGTTTGAGGTCAGCCTGGGGTGTGGACATTGTCTCTAAATAAAATTTTCAACTTAAAAAAATAAAATGATGGCAGTACAGCTCATCATCTCCAGTTAGGGGCGTGAATGTATGTGCTCAGTTCACTTTCTCCTCTTACTGCAGGGTCCTAGTGAATGGAGTGGACCACCCACAGTGTGTCTCTCCCCACTTCAATTAACCCAACCAAGGTAATCCCCCATGGGCATGGGCAGAGGCCAGTCTCTAAGGTGATCCTAGATCCATCAAGTTGACAACCAAGATTAAGCATCACCCCATTGCCCTCTGCATGTGTACTGTGCCACACAGTGGCTAAAGACACTTTTCTAGGTAGCCTCACCTGAACAAGGGATCAAGGCCAGCAGGGTCCAGATACCAAGCAGAAGCATTTTCATTCTTGGGAGAAAGACCAAAAGCTGGGGGAAAGAAAAGAAAGAAGTGCTGGAGACTTTGCCATTACATTTTCATAAAAACTTTATGGGTCTGAGTGTTTTCCCGGCTGTGTGTTTGTGTGCTGTGTGGTCAGAGGAGGCGCTGGATCCCGAGACTGGAGTTATAGATGGCTGTGAACCACCATGTAGCTTCTGGGAGTCAAACCTGTGCAAGAGCAACCGGTGCTCTCAATTCTGAGCCAACTCTCCAGTCCAGAGAATAATTTTATGAATAAAAATGTACAAAAGGGCCAGGCGTTGGTGGCGCACGCCTTTAATCCCAGCACTCGGGAGGCAGAGGCAGGTGGATCTCTGTAAGTTCGAGACCAGCCTGGACTACCAAGCGAGTTCCAGGACAGCCTCCAAAGCCACAGAGAAACCCTGTCTCAAAAAAACCAAAAAAAAAAAATGTACAAAAGGAAGCCATGTGCTGCAGAGTCTGCTATAGTCAAGACCTTGAGGTGGAAACAGGAGGATCCGGAGTTCAAGGTTAACTTCCTTGAAGAATCAGAGGCCAGCCTGGGCTACTTCATCTCAAAAAAGAAAAGGACCGGAGAGGCCAGGCTGGTCTACAGAACAAGTTCCAGAACAGCCAGGACCTACACCCTGTCTCAAAAACCCCAACTAAACAAACAAACAAACAAAACAAAACACATTTAGCTAGGCAGTGGTGGTGCACACCTTTAATCCCACCTCTTGGGAGGCAGAGGCAGGTGGATCTCTGTGAGTTTGAGGGCCAGCCTGGTCTTCAAAGAGAGTTCCAGGACAGCCTCCAAACTTACAGAGAAACTCTGTCTCGAAAAACCAAAAAATTAAAATAAAATAATAAAGAAAAAAAAGAAAAAGAAACTACTGGAGAACACACACACACACACACACACACACACACACACGTGCGTGCGCGCCTCTCAGTGTGGTGTTTTGAAAGAACTTCCTGCGTCTAACTGATGTGAGTTTGGAGGGTGTTTGATTATGGTTTCCCAGGTGGGTTTATCGTGTCTCTCCTTTTACTAGCCTGCTTTGTCTACTAGACTGAGAGGTGAAATCCTGCAGTGTTTATTGGCCCTGCTCAGTGGAAAGTGACCCTGAATCTAGAGGGCACAGTCACTGGAAGTTTGCTCTCTGATGTAAGGGAGAAATGTTTCAACCTGGCTTCTTCAGGACCTCTAGGAAGCGTCTCAAGACCATCGTCTCTCCCCGATTCTCCACCACATTCAGCAAACAGGCTTCCACCTCCATCTTCCCAGTCCATGCTCAGGTCAGTCACCTTACCTGTGTTTTCTTTCAAAACCACTCCAAACAAAACAAAACAAATACTAACTTCTTCTGAAAGTTTCCTTTACCCCTCCCATCCTGCCCTCTTTATCTCTTTCTCCATGGGGAGGCAACCTCAGCTTCTGCTGTGCTAGACAAGCGCTCTACACTGAGCTACGTCCCCAGCCTGAAAGAAGGGTTTTTTGCTTCTTTTGATTTGGGAGTTGGTTATGTTTTGTTTTATTTTGGATTTGGTCATATATATATATATATACATATATATATATATATATATATATATATCTCAGGCATATCAGAACTAATACTTCCAAGTGAACATTACTTTTCCAAAATAACCACTTTAAACTAAGCATGGTGGTGCATGCCTTTAATCCCAGCACTTGAGAGGCCTCAGAGGTAGATGGATCTCTGTGAGTTCCAGGCCAGCCAAGGCTACAGAGAACCTGTCTAAACACACTTTGGGAGGACATGAGCTTATTCCAGAGATGATACCATTATTCAAAATCTGTGGGTGTGATTTATAATGTCTTTTAAGTTACATAAGAAAAATCATTATTAAATTATCCTTTTTCCATGTGCAAAAAAGAGAAAAAGATATTAATCACAGAAACTGCCAAACTTATCTCTAGTGACTTACATCTCTTTCCTCAGGTCTGTCATTATTTAACATATTCTAAAGAATACCTTAACTAGACTCTGAAGGAATTTCCAGAGGCAAGCTGAATAAAAACTCTGAAGGAAATGCACCAAAGCCCCCAGATGAGCCAGATGTTATGTTATCCATGTTTTTTTATAAACGTATTGTTGAGCATGCCAGGCTCTTAGTAAGATGGGGAAGAAACAGTGGGCGGTTGTGGCGCACGCCTTTAATCCCAGCACTCGGGAGGCAGAGGCAGGTAGGTCTCTTTGAGTTAGAGGTCAGCCTGGTCTATAAAGTAAGTTCCAGGACAGCCAGGGCTACATAGTGAGACCCTGTCTCGAAAAACAACAAAAAGATAACAGCTTTATTTAAGTTTAGTAAAAAGACAAATGTAAAAAGGTAGTTGCTAAACGCTGTAATAAAACAGTGAGGTGGCTGTACCTCAGTGACAGAGTGCTTGTCCACCATCCCAAGGCCCTGGGTTCAAACTCTCGAATGTGAGGAGGTAGACGTTCTAAATGTTTTGTTAACTTTACACAAGATATAGAAAGTATTGGTTGGGGATATGGAGGACCTGAGTTCACAACCCCACTCGCCAAATGGAAAGCTGGATGTGGCTATGCAAGCCTGTAACCCCAGCCCTGAAAAAGGCCAAGACAGGATGGTTGGGTCTGGCTGGTCAGCAGTCTAGCTCCAGGTCCAGTGAGAGGCGCTGTCTCAAAGAACAGACGCACGTCGGTCAAACTGGTCGGTTTTCCTTGTAGTTGCTACTAGTTTATGTCTGTGCCTCAAGTCAGCAAAGAAAGCAGGGAGAGAGTGAGAGTTGGTTTTGGTCATACACACACACACCCATCCCTACACGTGTGTCTTCTTTCTTTCTTTCTTTCTTTCTTTCTTTCTTTCTTTCTTTCTTTTCTTCCTTCCTTCCTACCTTCCCTTCCTTCCTTCCTTCCTTCCTTTCTCTCTTTTCTGTTTTCTTTTTTTGAGACAGGATCTTGCTCTATAGCCCAGGCTAACTTGGATGTATCTCAGGCTGGTCTTGAACTCAGTGCTCAAACACTGAATTTGTGCCACCACACCAGGTTCCCAGACACACTTTGCTCCATGCTACTCCATGCCCTCCTCTGACTTGCCTACCAAGCCCACAGCTCTAACCCTTCACTGTCGCTATCAGCACACATGTGACCTGTCTAAATTCCTTTATTTATTCTGTAAATTACATCCCAACTTAAATGGCTTGAGCAGTCCCATCCTGTCCCCCGCCCCCCATTTTTTAAAGACAAAGTCTTATGTAGCCCTGGCTGACCTTGAACTTGCTAGGTAGCTGTGGATGACTTGGAATTCCTGATCCTCCTGCCTCCACCTCCCTAATGCTGGGATTGCAGGGGTGCACACACTCTGGGAGACGGGCTGGAGGAGCAGACCTCACACGGATGTGCTGTGTCAGCTCCCACAGCATCATGTGTCCAGACTGGGACTCTCACGTGCCCCGTATACTCAAGGGCACCCACAATTTCAGTCCATGCTACGGTTTTCCTTTCCTATAGTATACACTGCTGCTAACCCATTTATACTGGACAGCCGTTACCAGGGACAAAACCTAAATAAACCCCTTGATTTTATTTGCTCTCAGTTGACTTAAAAATCACGAATTTTGAAGATCACACATCTTAGCAGTCCAGAGTTAGTCTCCCAGTGGCTCTACTGTAGATTCCAACCCTGACAGGTGTGTTGGGATCCGTTGCCTAGGTTGGGTTTTTAACACCCTGAAGACTGCTTCCACTGAAAACTCTCTTTACTCCAGCCTCAGACAGGGTGACAGGAAAGGATAAAAAGACCGACCGTCTTCAGACTTCGACTCAGACTTGCACAAAGACAGGTGGGACCTCTTGAAACTAATTTGACCTATCCTCCTTTAAAGTCATCTAGCGTCGGTGACTACGTGGTCATCAGACCACGAAACTAAGCAGCATGGCCTAACCCCGAGTCCTCACCTCAGAAAACTTGATCGCTACCGTCAGCAGCCAACCTTTCTCCCTCCCTGACAGTCACGATATACCCTTCATCTCTAGTCCCTCACTCCTTAGAATTGAGAAGTTGATTTCGAGCAGTTTCCAGCTCTTCCATCTTTGGCCACTAAATAAAGGTCTCTCTCGACACGGGCTTAGGGTTGGGGCGGCATGGTGGTATGACAGGAACACTTTCCCCAAGTTTCCTAGCCTGTGTCTCTCCCGGGGACGGTAAGTTCCATGAAGGCAAGGGCTCTTTGTTTTATCCGCTGATGGGTCCCAAGAGACTGGAGACGTTATAGTCGATTAGCAATTCCCAAAGGCTGAACCAAAGAAAATATAAGCTAATTCTTGTGGCCCAAGCACTTGGGTGTAAAGAGCTTGGTTCCCTCTAGCTGGGGCTGGGGCGTGCACACAACTGGACCTGAAGGCATTTAAAGACATTGTTTAAAACATTTAAAAATATGTGGGAAACAGAATCTTGTTCGCCAGGTATGTGGGCGAACTCGCCCACCAGCCGACCCTTCACTGGATTTCACAGGTAAAAACCGACAAGAACCCAAGCAAACCAAATAGAACCCAAATCCTCACTGAGTCGGAGCTGTCCGCTCGTCCCTCTTGCCTTACTGGCCGCTCCTGGGTGCTCGGGAACCACAGCGTCGCCACCGCGCTCCAAACCGCCGCGCGCTGTGACCGTTGGGTCCGCGCACCTGGCGGGGGCGCTCTGCGCCGGTGCTGCGCGGTGGGTTCCCCAGATCTGCCCGGAAACTCGTGACGCTACTCAGGCTCTCAACCTGGTTGGCTGAGAGGAGAAGCGGGCCCAAACACCTTAAAAGAGCCTGGGCCGCAAAAAGCCAGTTCAAGCACTAGGGGTAGATAAATCCTGGTCCCACTGCCAGTGGCCCCACAGACTGTCTGTCCGCGCCACACTACTGTCGCCCACGATCAGAGGGCCTAGTTTGGTCCTATGCAGGTTCCCCGCTGTCAGCCCAGAGTCAGAGAGCTCCCACTAGCTCAGGTCAGCTGTCAATGTGAGTGTCCCCAAACTGGTCTTGACACCTTTGCTCAGGTTATCGCTCTCTCTCTCCTCAGCTGGACTCGGGGAGCTTGGCCCAATGCTTACCTTGTGGATCTCTGCTTCTGCTTCCATCAGTTACTGGATGAAGACCCGTGTTTATCTTTCTGGGTCTCGGTTACCTTACTCAGGATGTTTTTTTCTTTTTTCTTTTTTCTAGTTCCATTCATTTATCTGCAAATTTCAAGATGTCATTGCTGAGTGGTACTCCATTGTGTGTAGATGTACCACATTTTCTTTATCCATTCTTCGGCTGAGGGGCATCTAGGTTGTTTCTTGATTCTCTTTGGAGATATACCTTGCTCAGCCTAGACATGGGGAAGCGCCATGATCTAGCCTCAAAGTAAGGTGCCAGAGTTAGTTGACTTCCCATGGGAAGCCTTACCCTCTCTGAGAAGTGGATTGGGGAGGGGGAGGACGGGGTAGGAGGAGGAGGAGAGGAAGTGGGAACTGGGATTAGTATGTAAAAATGAGAAAAGATTGGAATGTAAAAAAATTAATTAAAATTAAAAATGAGAAAAGATTGTTTTTTTAAAAATAAAAAATGATAAAAAGGCAATCAAAACCAAAAACAAAACAAAACAAAACAAAACAAAGAGACAAAAAAACCCAAGTGCCTTAAAAGATAGGATGGGCGCTCAACAAGACTAGTAGGGAGGCCAGGACAGGCTCCAAAACAATACAGAGAAACCCTGTTTCGAAAAACAAAACAAACAAAACAAAAGAATATTAGGGAGGCCGTCCTGCTTTGAAGAGCGTGCAGATTTGATCGAGACACTCGCTGCTGAGCCGGGCTTGGTGGCTCAGGCCTGCAACCCTTGCTTGTGGGAGGTACCACCAGCAGAAATGAGAGCGCACGGCCCCCTAGCTACAGGGGAGTTCGAGGCCTTCCTGTGTCATACGAGATCCCCACTGATTGAATGAAAGTTAATCTTTCTAAATAAAAGGAAATGTAAAGAGATCTTTTAAAAATAGATTTCTTTTTACTTAGGTGTGTGTGTGTGTGTGTGTGTGTGTAAACCACGTACATACAGATGCCGTTGGAGGCCAGAAGTGGGCACCAGATCCTTTGGGAACTACCTCATGGGAACTGGAGGGCTTATGGAAGAACAAAAGTGCTCTTTTAACTTTATTTTGGCTTTTCAAAACAGGGTTTCTCAGTGTAGCCCTAGCCATCCTGGACCATGCTGGTCTGGAGATTTGCCTGTCTCTGCCTCTCGAGTGTGGGATTAAAGGCGTGGGCTGCCACCATCAGGCCAGTGAATTCTTAACCATTGAGCAATCCTTCCAGCCCCAAGACAGGCTCTTTTGTTTTGTTTTGTTTTTTTTGAGACAGGGTTTCTCTGCTTTGTTTTGGAGACTGTCCTGGAACTCGCTCTGTAGACCAGGTTGGCCTCGAACTCACAGAGATCTGCCTGCCTCTGCCTCCCGAGTGCTGGGATTAAAGGCGTGTGCCACCAACGCCCAGCCCAAGACAGGCTCTTTAAACAAATCCAAAGAATGTCTTTCCCCCACGGCTGTTCATCTGTTGGTTCTGCTTGAGAGTGGAAGGTGGGAGGCTCTGGTCCTGCTTTGAGTGATCTGCCTCCTGAACTCAAGATTCTGAGCTACTCAGCTGCTGCCTGGTCTCTCTCTTCTAGGGTATATATGCCAGATAGTAATTCAGTGTGGTTTTGCCAAGATTCAGAAAGTCCTTTTAGCCCACTGGTCCTAGAAAGTGTGTGTTGTTACTGTTTGAACTGGATCTCCTATAGCTCAGACTAGCCTCAAACTCCCAGTGTTCCCAATGTTTTATACTGGGTATGGTTCAGGGGGACACAGCAGATGTAAGGCTCCCCTCTTTGAGGAGCTACAATTTCTGCTGAATTACAGACAGAAGGAAACCACAACTATGAAAGTGTGAGGTGAGGTGTGTTTGGGGAAGGTGAGCTGAGCGAGGCCTGAGAGAAGAATACTTGGGCTGCTGGTAGAAAACAAAGCTAGCTACCTGGGGACAGATAGTAAAGTCAACCATGCCATACCAAGTCATTTAGTCAGGCTCCTCCATGAGGCCTTTACTGGAGTCCCTGCAGTCCTGGAGGGAAGGTGGAAAGCACCCCAGGCTATCGCAAACTCAGCTAAAGTTCCTGAGACATTTCTGAGAAACCCAGAGAAGCACTTTTTTTTTGAGACAGGGTTTTTTTGTGTAGCCTTGGCTGTCCTACAACTAACTCTGCAGACCAGGTTGGCCTTGAACTCACAGAGCTCCGCCTGCCTCTGCCTCCAAGTGCTGGGATTAAAGGCGTGCTCCAGCACCTTCCCGGTTATTTTGAAGTGTCCCCCACCCCTGCTGAAGATTAAGTGAGGGCACTTGGATTAGTGGAAGGAAGTGCTCTGATTTGATGTCTTGGGGGGGAAGATGCCAGGGAGGATTGGGTAGGATGGCCAATGGAGGGAAACCAATAGGATGGGAAGGAGGACATGCTGAGAAGCCAAGAAAGATCTGGTAAAACACAGAGCTCAGTGACTTAGAACGAGGGGAGGAGAGGGAGGAGTGGAAGATGACTGCAAGTGACAGGAGCGTGGAAGAGCCCCAGACTTGCCTGATTGTCATCTTTGTCTGCTCAGTTATTTCCTTAGCTCTCACCAGCAGCCTGCAGAACCAGGCTGAACGTCTCGAGACACGCCTAGTGTCTTGCCATGTCCTTGTGCTCTTCACTAAGACAGACACAGTTGAGATGTGGCCACATATAATGACAGAGAAACACTGACTTTGAACAAGTGGGTATAGGTGACTTTTTGAACATCTATTGGGAGCTGGAGACATGGATCTGAAGCTCTGAGCACAATGGCGTTGGAGGTAGAGATTTAGGGTCATTGAAGGGATGGAGGACGAGTGTGCCTGGATAAGTTCAGAAAAGAGAGCTAAAGGCAGAGCAAGGACATTTAGGACCAGAATGGAATCAGGAGTAAGTCAGAGATGTCCGTAGAGGGCCCTCCACTGGTGTTCCCCTGTAGAAACAGTCTGTTCATTACCCCAGTAGCTCTGGGGACACATTCCTCCACCTTTGGAGGATCCAAGAAGTAGCCAGGAATGAACCTCAGTGATGCCCAGTTTCTGCCCTGTATAGAACAAAACTCTGACATCAGAGATTGTAAGAGTGCTATGAACTGGCTGTAGTCATGAAACTCCTTACTTCCTTTCCCATCTGCTTTTAGGCTTCATTTTTTTCTTGGTTTTTCAAGACAGGGTTTCTCTGTGACTTTGGAGGCTCTTGTAGACCAGGCTGGTCTCAAGATCTGCCTGCCTCTGTCTCCCGAGTGCTGGGATTAAAAGCATGTGCCACCACTGTCCGACTAGGTTTTATTTTTTTTGAACAGCTTTAGATGTGCAGAAATGAAGAGCAGAGAGTTCCCTGTCTCTCCCAGTTTTCCAATTTTTAGCATCTTCCATTAGTGTTGTCTAGATGTTACAATGAATGAAGCAGTATTCATGCATTATTAAGGTATATAGTTTACCCTGAAGTTAACTGTGCATTATGTAATTCTGTGGATTTAAATTTTATTTTTGTGTGTGTGAATGTTTCCTCTGTATGTATATAAGTACACCATGTATGAGTGTCAGAGCTTGGGAATGGAGTTATAAATGATTGTGAGCCAGCATGTGGGTGCTGGGAATCTGCCCTGGGTCCTCTAGAAGAATAGCCAGTGCTTTTAACCATTAAGTCATCTCTCCAGCCATTATTTTTTATGTTTGAATCCTTGGTTCTCAATTAAAATAACTGTTTGGGAAGAAATAGGAGGTGTGACACTGGAGTGGGCTTTGAGGTTTAAAAGGATCCAACCATTTCCAGTGTGCCTCTCTACCTTCTGCTTTTGGATAAAATGTGTGCTCTGAGCTGTTCCTGCCACCATGCCTTTTCCCCACCATCATGACCTTAACCTTTTGAAACCATAAGGCAAATTAAATGTTTTCTTTTATAAATTGCATTGGTCATCACGTTTTTCTCACAGCAATAGAAACGTAACTATTACAAACAGAAGGAAGCCTTAACTTCCCGAACTGTTTCTCCAGCCCTACGGCATCCGTTAGAATGGCTAGTTAACAGTGTTTCATGTGTATTATCTGATTCTCTATTGCCAAACACTGATGCTGTTACATGATATAAAGAAAACACTAGGATGATAACAGCAAGCCTTGGCTCCACACAGTAGCAAGTCAATTTTTGCTGACCTGGCAGGAGATTCACTTGCCCATAT